ACTGTTCTCCAAGATTTAAATCATGACTTAAAGAACAAATTACATAAGGTTGAATTTTAATAGGATCCTCTAACCCTTCCAATATTAAATCAAATGGATCTGCAGGACCCAACACATGCACTTTCTGGTTCGCAACAGCAGTACCAGCTTTATTTGTATATGGTTTATATTTGATATTTAGTGATGTGGCTTGCCTTTTACTCATTATATGGCCAAAGAGGTTTCCAGAGTCTATCAGAGCTTTGATAAAGACTCTGGATCCGCTCTTCATAGCCCGAATGTAGCCAAGAGATGCATATTTGTCTTTCCGTCCTGACATAGCTGACATCATCTCAGATAGTTGTGAACTCAGGGTGCAAATTTCAGACATTTTTGAACTTAACGAACTAATTTGTTCACCCTGTTCAACTATCTGGTAGATTTGGCGACAATTTTTCTTCTCTTTCACATAATCTATTTCTAGATCGGAATCAGAGCTTGAAGTGTCCTGGTCTCCTGTAATATCATCAGAGGAGGATTGGATTTCTCTACATTATTGATATTCTGATATCCCCAGATAAATTATTCCGGGGGCAATTCCTGCTAAAGTGACCTTCCCTGTTACAATTATAGCAAATGTCATCTTCTGCAGGCTGTCTCCCCGGAATAGTAAATCCTTTTATCCCTTTAGCTTTATAAACTGTCTGATTTTGATATTTCTTAAACCTCCTGAAGGCCGCAATTTCATCCTCATCTACGTTCTCATTAATTACGTTTACTTCATATCTGCTTTTCCTCTCTTTTTCACGGGAACTCCCAGCATTGGTATAACTGTAATTCAGCAGACGGATGTCAGTGCCAACAGCATCTGATGCATCTAATTCTCCAGCGATGGTTCTAGCTTGAATATTATTAACCGAAACTTGAATAATTTGTCTCAAATCATCAAAATTTTCAACTTTAAAACCATTTAACGCTTGGATTGAGAGGAAATTGCAGGCTTTATTTCTCAGGATTTCATTATGGAGTCCTGTAATGCTGGATTCACAGAATTCTTTAAAAATTCTGGTTTTTCCAGTAGGGAAAGACCATATAAAGAGATTAAAGTTATCTCTTAAATATAGATCATATACTTTCCCTGCTGTATGCAGACATAGAAGGTTCCATATCTGACACAGTAAATGAGCAAGGGGGACGGAAGGACTGAAATAATGTGATCTTGAAACATATTTCACCCACTCCTAATGTTCGGGCATATCCTCTAATATGTACCAAAATAATCCTCAAAACTGTCCTGTCCATCAAAATTCCACTTCATTTTGCTGAACAGGACTTTGTTTTGGTCGGGTACATATCAGTCTTCCTCTTCTGTTCCTGTAGGTTCCAGCCTGTCCAGTACGGAGAACTTTCCCTCCTTCGATGCCATGTCAGCGTTGACGGGATTGTTAAGCACTGGATTAAGAGGTGGAGCAGGTGGATTCTGGGGATTCTGACTGGAGGAGCGTCTGATACCTCCATTCTGAACCCTCCGACCATTATCTGCTCCATTCCTTGTGTTCCTCTCTACAGCAGGTCCTCCATTCGGATTATATACCGCCTGGAGGTTAGCTACTGCTTGTAGAGTGGGGTCTGGAACTACTTCTCCAGTGTGCTGTGCCCCTGGAGCTGGGGGGATGTTATTTTCTCCTGTCCCAGCGGAGGCTCTAGCAGGCTGGAGGTTAGGATTATTCTCATCTCCAGGCATTGTTAAAGATAAATTAATTTTAAATCTTTCCGTGCTGCCTTAAGAATAATTTTAAGATAACATTTTTGAGGATCCAAATTTTACTTTTCAGTCCTTAATTCAAATAAACTCGGGACTTTATAGTATCTTAGACTTAATTCCGTAGAACTCAGTCTATCTTATTCCAGTGATTCCTAGCGAACTAAAGGGATATTTATTTCTAATTCTTTCGAACTTGAAATTAACAATTTGTAATTAATTTGTTTCCAGTGATTAAAGAACCAAAGGAAATATAGTTTTTTATTCTTTCGAACTCAAAACTGATAATTTATATATATATATATAATTGATTCCAGTGATTAAAAAACCAAAGGAATTACAGTTTCTAATTCGTTCGAACTCAAAACTGATAATTTATATATATATAATTGATTCCAGTGATTAAAAAACCAAAGGAAATATAGTTTATAATTCTTTAGAACTCGAAACTAAGTGTATAATCTGCTAATCCTGTAAGACTCACAGTTTATAAAATGAATAAAATATTCTCACTTTATTTATTTCAGGATGAAATAGACTAGAGATGATTATCTACCCTACTGTCACTGGTATCTTAATTATTCCTACAGATTTTCTAACTAAAAGTCCGTCTGTCTAAATAATTTAAGTCCGGGTATATCTGAAGACTTCTTCCTATCCTGGTCTTGGTTGGAATGACTGCATTTGCCCATTTTATTCCTGGTGTGCTTATTTCAACCCTTTACTGAGTAGTGCTTTGTTTTGAATCTGAACAGTATTCGGCGTCTATCTTCACCCTATTGGTTAAGATGGGAATACACCTCTGTTCCCGCCGGAGATCTGTGCAACCTTGAATGCTTTTGGCTGGTACAGTTCTTTTCCGCAGCACTGCACGTTTTTCTAGGAGGGTGAAAAGGGGGTAACAACCCTTTTTGACCCGGGGTTCTATACACAGCCGAGCTCGGCCCCATTAATTATTTTAAATGGGTTTAGCTGAACTGTTTTGTTTTCCAACTAGCATATTTTCAATAACCGTTCAGCTATATTTTAAAATATTGAGGCCAAGTCTATTTTAGGGTTCAAATATTCAATATAACTAAACGTATGAAATATTTTACTGCCTCTTTGTTCTAATATTTTAAATTAGAGTTATTTCTCTAGGGGTTAAATTAGAGGCATCCCCCGTGGCTTAAATACAATTTGGCAAATTTTTTAATTATATATTCAGCCATCAGGAAATGGTCATATGTAAATACCCATCACTGAGACGCATTTTATCAAACTTTAAAAATGCATTTAGTGGGTTTATTATTAAACATATGCAATTTAATGAGCCTAGATATTGGTTAATTTTACTAAATTAATTTTGATCAGTGAGCAACAATTTTTCTTTACAATTGAAGTATACAGTCCACATATCATTTTACGCTTCATTTGAAGGGGGGGGGGGGCTTAGTTTGCAAAATCAGTTATTTAGTTTATATGATGAATCAATTTTTAAAATGTTACAAAACTAGAATTTAACTGACTCATACATAAACAAGCTTGGATTTAGAATGTTTAAACTTTTCAAGGCGGCTCCATGGTGCGTAGTAACAGCCAATGACCTTATTGTTTGCCCAGCCTTACCACCTCTTACTCATATCCCCTAAAAGCTTTTAAACATACAAGCTTTAGAAGGGGTTAAAAGGAGGGGGGGGGGGGGGCTTCAGGAGTTGAGAAGAAAAGAAAAAAACAGCATCGTTTTAAGTTTGAAGATGTCTTGGTTCACGTTTAAGGTCTCTATTCTAAAACAATGGAATCTGTAATATCTTGAAAACCCAAATTTGGAAATAGAGATGCCCCTTTTACTGTGCAACTTTTTCGTTGTGGTAATTTCTTACAACCAAAAATGTATGATGCAATAAATTATAACTCTTGCATTAGCAAATTATGATAAGATCGCACTTCAGATTATCTAACCTTTATGTGATCAATTATCTTTGCCTTTAGATAACATCATACATCGGGTTATCTCCCTATTCGGATCAAGCCTTTATACGATTACTTATCTTTGCAACCTGATAACATTATACATCGGGTCATCTCCCTATTTGGATCAAACCTTTATATAATTACTTATCTGTGCAATAATATAACACCCTTATTAATAAATACATTCTAATCTGATTAAGTACATTTATTTCACATAGTTTTATAAATGCATATATAATCACAATATGAAGATAAATAAATGGTTTGATAACCAGCCATGATCCTTTCACATAATAGGTCCATTAGCTTGATCTTTGAGCTTTTTCTCAGTTAATCTACCAAGTCTAAAGTGCATGACTAATATATTAGCCAGTCCATCAATGAGATCTTTATCTCCTTTATTCCAGGTTTGCTGGTTGACATGCTCCTGCATAATCTGGAGGATATCTACAGCCTGGTTGTACAACCTGGCACTGAAATCATCTCTGCTTGATTCAGGGTGAAGGTTATACTCTCGCTCCCAAGCTCTCCCTGTGTCCCATACATCAGTATGTGGATCTACAGGGGGCTGTTGGATGCTTGCGCCCCCAGGATTGGGGGACAGGAGGTCTTTAACATCCTTATGAAGTTCCTCCAGGTTGTCTAGGACTTCCCACAGTAGCTTCGCCAGATCCTCCATATCGTCATACTCATTCTCATCCTCTACTCTGTCCTCTGCTACGTCTCCATCCTCCGAGGCTGGGGCAGTAACAATGGGAGCATTCCCACTGACAAGAGGAGCAAGGTCTGCTGGATCAACTCCATCTACATCCAGGGCAGCTTCAGCTACATAAGATGGATTGCTTACTATCACGGATATTTCATTCATCTCTTCTTGAAGTAACTTGTCAATCAGGTTCCCTCTGTATATAGTGATCTAAATAGACTTTACAAATAGTACCAAGCACAGAACAATAGGAATAGACTGACGCTTAAAGTTATGTGTCTATGCTTCTAAGGTTTGTGCTGTACTGCCTGCTCTGGCATCCGCTTGTATTCAAGGGACTGTTCACTCTTATCAGGAACGGTTCAGGATACAGCAATGATTACATTATTAAGATTATAGTTAAAAACAATAACATATAGAAGACAGAAATAAAGTTTAATCTTCTTTTGAAAATATTAGACCTAGTGACAGGACTGGTAAAATGGTATTTTAGAACAAAATGATTCATTAATGACACCCCTTATTTCAGTCTAAAGTGTTGGGACGGGACCCCCCCCCCCCTAATAGGAATAGGGTTAATGACAAAAAATATATTATTACCTATTCTAAATGAAATGTCCTCTCTGAACTTCAGTGCTCTGCAGCAAACACCAAACATATCCTTTGGTCCAGTTTGCTTATTGTAAATGATGCTAAATAAAAAATATGTTTATCTTTGATATTTAACAGTTTGGTTCTTGTCCTAGCAATCAGTAATATTTCCACTATTGAAAATACTTTGTGATTCTTGGGGGAACCCCTACCATTCCCCCCCCCCACCTCCATCTCCTTCTGATGGCAACACACACCCCACATTTGAGGAAGTTATTACGAATCCAAGATATCCACCAGGAGGAGGAAGGGTATTCTAGTATACTTAAACCCATAACCCATACATTTTTTTACATTTATTTTATAATTGGCACTTTCCAGAGGGGGCAGATCCCCTTAAAATTAATAGATTTTTCTGGTCCAGGGGGGGGGCTTAGCCCCCATAGCCCCCCCCTGAATATGCCTCTGCTTCACATAAAAATCATTGTTCTCCATAATGTTATTCTTAATCTTTTCTTAGAGACTTGAGCCAGGGACTAAATCTGCTTTCTGATTGGAAAGTAGCCTTCCTATGAGAACTCTGTTTGCTCAGGAAGAAATGTTAATCAGGAACCATTACGCTAAAATTTACCTAGGCTGAAAGTTCGTGGAAACTTTTACGTTTAACCTATATTGCACAGCTTTATCAAAGAGTTGCCTTATAAATCTGTTGCATGTCAGCGAAAGTATTATTAAGCTTAATTATTAAGCTTATTAGAAGCTTGCTGACCAGTAAGAGGAAGCAATTTGGCATTCATATAATTAATACACTTTCTGTAATTAATAATTCTTATGTAAAGAATGAGAAAATTTTAATTTTTTGACACTTTTAGATTGAGGTTGTCCTCTCCTGCTGAATAGCATAAAGATATAGAAAAAAAATTTTTATACATTGAAAATTGCTGTGCCAGTAAGCATAAGAGGATGACCTCCAATTAATATTGGTTAGGAAATCACTGATCTCAGAAAAAGATACATATAAGTCAAAACTTGCAGTGCCACTGTGCTTAGGAAGACAGTGTGTGTCAAAAATAAATCTTTTTAGAATTAAATTTTACATAAAAACTGGCTATTGTTGCCAAGTCACAGTTAGAGGTAAATATCCTGCAAGTCTGAAGCAGATGTAAATAATCCTTATACAAATAAACTCTTACAGGCATACAGAAAACAGTCACCCAACAAGGAAAATACAGGTTTGCAATGAGAAAAGCTTGCAGAGAACTGAGTCTAAAGCTAAAGAACGAAAAGTTTTGACTTAAATTTTAAGTTCATGACTTAATTTAAACCTGAACTTTAACTGTGAGGTTAAATATTCAACCCTGTGGTCAAATATTTCACTCACCTAAATCGACGAGTTAAAATTTAAACACAGGCTAAAAATCTTAAAATCCCGCAATCACTATTTGGCTATCATCAATCAACTGAGTTAGCAGCATTCAACTAATTATGATATATTTAAAAGAAAATACCTTGATATAATAAATTTCACGTTTTAAATTAATTAATGTTTGCATGTAAACCCAAAATACAGTTATTACTGGAAATATGTTTTGTTTTCCGTCACGTAAAAATTTGAAATTTAAAAAACAACTACTTACTGATACTTACGTAATAATTCTCCGTAACTCCTTTTCTCTGATTGGTTCAGATTTTTCCCAGGAAATTCAAATTTAAAATTGAGAAAGTTTAATATTTAAGTAGCTATTCATTATTTTACAGAACTTTTAACCTAAAACTTAAAATCCGCGCATTCTTTAGTTTTAGATTCAGGTTGATAATTTATGTGATTAAATTACTTGAAGTAAAGCTCCTTTTTACAATCTTAAAGATTAATCATAGCAAAGATGCCAGTGTAAGATCTCGCATGTGTTAAACAGAAGCAATGTGTTGCCAGGTATCTAGATTTCAATTCTTGTAAATATGACTTGTAAGATATATGAGATAATGCAGAAAAATGCTAGTCAAGTTCTTGTTGATTTTCACATCTTGTGCTCATTTCAAAAGAAACCAGTGCAAGATCTTGCATATTCCAAATGTGGTAACATGAGTAAAGTAATGCCAGAATATCTAGATTTAATTCTTGTAAATGTCAGGTGTAATATATATGAGAAATCAAGGGAATACATTACATTTTTAATTTTTAATTGCAAAATAACAACACTTGGTGTCTCTGCTCATCTTTCAGAAACTAAAGTATAGTGTAGTGTTGTATCCTAGACTGTTCTTGATAAGAGTGAACAGTCCCTTAAATACAACAGATGCCAGAGCAGTCAGTACAGCCCAAACCTTAGAAGAGTAGACACGTAACCATACACGTCAGTCTGCCACTATTGTTCCGGGACTTGTACAACATACAGCGAGAACCCACTTGAACGAGCTACCCGGAAGAAGATGAACCAAGTACCTGTTATAGTCCGCAACCCAGCTTATGTTGTGGAAGACGAATTGGATGAAGACGGAGTTGATTCTGTAGACCTTGCTCCTCTAGTCAGTGGGAATGATCCCATTGTCACTGCCCCAGCTTCAGAAGAAGGAGATGTAGCTGAGGATGTAGCGGAGGACGAGGATGATAGAGATGTGATGGAGGACATATTGGAGATACTGCAAAACGTCCTGAATAACTTGGAGGATCTTCATAAGGAGGTTACAGACCTCCGGCGCCCCACTCCTGGGGGTGCAGGCTCCCAACAGCCCCCTGTAGTCCCTCGTATTGATGTATGGGACACAGGGAGGGCTTGGGAGTTAGAGTTTGTAATATTTTACAACCAAAATTAGCAAAGTAGCAAAGTAGTGTAATGATGTTGCGATTTTGTTGATCTTTTACAATCAGCGATTCAAGGGATCTTAAGATCGCTGCGATCATGGTTATCTAGGGGTATCATGCCCCCCCCACCCCTTGTACAGACTTTGGAATTATAACGGTTTTAGTTGTGTTTACCTGATAATTCAAACAAGCCAAACAGATCTAAATATAACCCAAGCGACGCCGTTCGTTATTTTGGAGGGTGGGGTGCAACAGAGTCAGCCCGATCAGCCGGGGGAGCTAGGGTTAAGATCTAGGCGAAGGTGGAGGGAATCCTGAGAGAAATGAGTTAGTTGTTAACCAACCCGTTGGATGAGAGGTGGAAGAATATCCTGAGCATCCATCTTCCACTGACTAATATTCTTTTCATCGATTGTATAGTATTTTTAGTTTATTCGTGTTTGTATAAAAATAATAATAATAAATTGTAAAACCGTCTCGCAGAATATTTGATAATTCGAGTTGTTGCATTGAATTTTTAGCATTTACAAGATGGTGACAAGTTGAAAAATTGGATTCCCGTAAACAACACTCATTTTTGATAATATTCCGCGAAATACTTCTGTTGTATTTCAGTCCACCCTAGCTGAAATGCGATAGTACTATCACGGTGAGCTTGCGTGTTTTGAAGCATTGAAAATAGACGTCAACTCAAACCTTTCTCTCAGTTACCTGTTACACTTAGATTTATATACGTCTAACTAGTTAATTTAAGATAAAATTATATTTAAATTATTTTTTGAAATTTTTATATGAGTATGGCGCAGTTATTTTCATCAAGCTCTAATATTTCAGACGGACCGACGAAAGTTAGATTTGACAAAAGTTAGTTAGTTGTAATGTTAGGGAGGCAGACAAACAAAATGTTTCCGCGTTTTCAATTTTTTATTAGCCCCTACATTAATGTTGTTTTATAGTGTGGAAGACGAAGCTCGGGGACCATCAGGGCAGGGGGGAAGACCAGATTGGTTTCTCAGATGGCTCCGCGAGGCTTTTCTGCACCGGCCTCGAAAGATCCTGTAGCCTTGCAGCTCGAGATATTTCAAGATGCTGTCGAAGAGCTTCCAGACATCGAAGAGTATGTTAAAAGAACGTTAACAAATACGTTGAACAACGAAGCAAGGATAACTCTGGCAAAGGAGGATGATAAAACACAAATTGCCAAGTTACTCAAGTCGCAAAGTATTCCGGACGACAAAACAACAGCCCAGATGCCCTGGGACAAGTTCACGGAAACTGAAATCAAGATTAATTCCAAAGTAGTGGAGAGTTTGAAAGCACAAGATTTCTCCACCAAGTCCCTGAAGTTCTGGAATGCTTACTATACAGATGTCTTCGACAAATATTTTGTCACTAGCCGTGTTGGTAAAATTGCAATTGCCTATAACAGTTGTTCCCTCAGTTTGAAACAACGTCTTTTGGCACTGGATGCTGGAACAGAAGCTAGAGCTGACACCTACTTGTACCTGAACCTGTTGCAGCTTATAACCACCGTGGTCCACAGTCCTGTCAGCAGGGATCAGGCGATGCTGGAGATATATAAAGGGTTGAGTCAGACCAGTATGGAGAGTGTTCAAGTCTTCCTCCATAGGTGGAGGGATACTGCTGAAGATGCCTGGGGACCTAGTTCAGGCTGGACCATGTCCCAGGCGTCTCTCTTGCTCAAAAAGATTTGTGAGGGTTTTAATTCTACAGAGTTGGCAAAGCTGACTGCATCCATTGTAGTCACTCTTCCCTTCCAATGGGCAACGTTGTGTGACTCAATTATTCAGTTCCAGCAGAGGGTTCGCAGCACAAATCCTCAGCAAAATGTTAATGCTATCCAGCAAAAAGAGGTCAAACAGCCCACATGTTATAAATGCAGCACTGGTCATTTTATGCGTGAATTGCAAAGCCCTGTTTTGTCAGTACTGCGGGGGACAGCATAAGCACTCAGATTGCGCAAAAAGTGGACAGCCAACATACTGTGTCAAGTGCAAGAGCAAATATCATAGTGTGGAGGGGCTCTTCAAATTCTTCCAGTTCAGTCAGAAGCCAAAGAGGTCTGACATCAATATGATTGAAGCAACTTCGTTCCTTGAGGGTGCTATATCAATGGACCAGTGTTGCCAACTCCAAAAGAGGGGTCTAGGCCGGAGAGAGGCTACAATTAGGCCAAAAATCCAATCTTTAGGCCCATATTTTAGAATTTGGGGCAAAGCCCCCCAACAACAACAGAAATTGGGGGGCAAAGCCCCCCAAATTTTTGAAAGCAAATTT